CCCCCCAGCAGTCTCCACCCCCAAGCCCTGCTGTTTGGGACACGGGGCGCAGGCGGGAGTCCCCAGCAGCCGCCAGGGAGCAGGGTGCAGGACAGCTGCCTTGGGCTCAGGGGCTTTTAAAAGCAACAGTGACTGGAGACAAGGCTAAGCGGGAGCCGGTGGCACCGGGGAGAGGAGGCGAGGCGAGGCGCTGGGGCAGGCAGGGGTGCTGCCCTTGGAATGGTCCCGCCGCTCTGGAGCGCAGGGGCCCGGAGCCATCCTGGCGCTGGGGGAGGAGTCCGTGTCCGGCTACTTGCGGCTCAGCAGCGAGCCCAGGAGGAGCACGCCGGCCACAGTCGCCCCCGTCAGCAGCCCCCTGTTGAACTGCTCCTGGCCTTTCCTGCTCTTGGCAGCAGCATCGTTCCCGTAGAGATCCACAAAGCGCTCCTGTGGGCGGGCGAGAGAGAGAGAAGGGTTAGGGGGCTGCAGGGGCCCGGGCCGTGGGGCTGCCACGCCAGTGACCAAACGCAGGCAGAAGGGGGGGGCGAGGGGCTCCCCCAGGGCTGCTCCCCGGGCACTCCTCAGGGTCGGGGGCACTGCGGGAGGTGACACTGGGGCTGTGGCTCGGGCAGCCTGGCCTTGAGGTGCCAGACTCGGTGCCGGTGCCGAGGGCCAGGTCATCCCCACTGACAGGCCACATGCTCATTCAGAGCCACCGGGCCCCAGCGCCCAACTCACGCACCATCACGAGCGGCCCCCTCCGCTGTGGGTCCTGCTGCTGCCTCGCTGCGTGCCAGGGGCTGCCCCTTCCACCCCCTGCCGCTCTCCCTGCCCGGCGGGGCCGGCGAGCCTTGCTAGGCAGCATCAAGGGGCAGCCGCCTGCCCTGCGCTGGAGCCAGCTGAGCAGCAAACCAAGGGAGACACTCAGGAAATTCCTTTTATTCAGCTCCGTGCCGATGTCTGCCCACGGCGCGGAGGCTGCAGAAAAACGCCGCCCAGGAGGGACTGGGCCGGACTAAGACCTGCCCCAGCTCACAAGAACGCAGTCGGAGGCAGCAGGAAAATCCGGGACGAGACCCGCGGAGCCGGTCTCCAGCATGGGGGAAGGAACAACGGGTGTGTTCCTGAGAGGGGCGGGGGGGCGTAAAACGCAGGGGAGGGGCAGGTGCGCCGCTTCCCGAACTCGCACGCAGCAGGAGAGGGGCAAAGCTCCAAACAGGCTCTGCCTCAGGAGCGTCCTTCTGCCAGGCCAAAGCGGGCCCAAGGGGACGATTTCAAGACGAGCTATGGAGCAAGGAGGCAGAAAGCGCCTGCGGGGGGCAGACTTTGCCCATGATCTGCGGGGCCTCTGCCTTCCCGGCCTGGCCCCAGCAGCGTGGGGACTGTACAGCGACAGGAGCGGTTTGGCCAAAGGACGGACAGGGCATTAAACAAGTGTAACCCCCCCCCCGTCAAATGTTTCCCAGGGTTAAGGCCCAGGTGTGACTGGCTGGAACAGGGTCTGGCAGCGAAGGGCTGGAACCGCCCTGCGCATGCTCCCTGCTCCAGCCCAGGTGTAACCGATCCAGGGCTCGCAGCTGTTGGCCTGTTCACGGCGGGGCCCGGGGTCCAGGGCTATCAGATCAGGGCCCCGAGGTGCAGTGTGGGCACAAGGAGGCTGCCTACGGCAGGGGAGCCCTGGCCAATGGCTCCTCCACGGGCTACCCCGCTAGCAGGGCACGAGACCCCAACTGCAGCTACTCTGCCACGCTGCCAGGCCTGCACTTGCCCTTGGCTGCGGGTATCACCCTTCCCCCAGGCGCGCCAGGCCTGCCAAGAGTGGGAGCTCCCCAGCACTCCTCCCGCCAGCACAACCTCTGCGTGTCTGCCCAGGGACCGACCTGCCCCAGGCCAGGCCAGCACGGGGCCCAGGCAGCATCCGAGAGCATCAGGCGTTTCTCAGCAGCCAAGGGGGTGGGGAAGAGGCAGGAGGTTGGCATGTGTTCTCCCAGCGGGTCAGGCGTCCTCGGGCAGGGCACTGACCCCACAGACACACAAGCACTGCCTCCCGCCCCCACACAGTCTGAGCAGGGAGAGGGGGAAGCACAGGACTAGTCATGAGAGAAGCGTGTGTCTGAGTGGGAGAACGCCACACGGGCAGGGCGGGGATGCCCCTCAAGCCCAGCTGAGTGCAGGGAGACAGCGGAGCTTTGTTTGCAAGGAGGCTGGACGGGGCGAACCATTCCCTGATTGGCGCCCAAGGACGAACGCCCCCCGTCTGCGCTCTGTGCCCACTCCCCAGCCAGCGCCCCGCGGCAGGGAGCGTCTCCCGGCAGTCAGCAAGGACACGCTCCGGGGCCAGTTCGGGGAAAGGGCGTGTTCTGCTCCACCAGATCCCCGGAGCCGCGGGGCACAGGGCACAGTCTGAGGCATCTGCCAGGAATGCAGCCACCCAGGGCTCTGCCGGCCCCGGCCCTGCTCCTCCAGCCAGGGGATGGCAGGGCCCCCGCCCTTCCAAAAGGTGAAATACACAGAGACTTCAAGCGGCCAGCCCAGCCCAGCTGGAGGGGGATGGGGAGAAGGGGCAGGACAGAACCAGGGAGAGTGGTGGGACCAGCTGGGAAGGTAGCAGGGGAGAGGGCAAAAGGCCACAAAGGTTTTGATTTGGGGGGACACGTTGGGCAACCCCACCCCCCACGTGACACATGCCCCCCTGCCAGGACTCCTCTTCCCATACCTCCTGGCAACAAGAGCTCCCCCCGTCCCCCCACTTGGCTACACAGCCCGAGCAGCATCCAGCCAACGGCAAAGCACCGTCGCAGCTGTCTGGGGGGCTGGCAGGGCTCATGCCAGCACGAGTCTCCCCAGAGGGGCTGGGAAGCTCGTTTCCCGGGCTGGGTACACATGCACCCCCGGCTCCGAGCTCCCCAGGGCTGCACAGATGGAGAGCAATGCCCAGAGCCAGGGCCCCGGCCTGCAGTGAGATGCCCAGGAGCGGCTGCAGGAAGGCAGCTTGAAGACCCCCAAGGCCTCTCCTTGGTGAGAGGCCGAGTCTGGCTCTAGAGCAGGCCCCGACACCTGCCCAAGCAGCCAACGGAGTCTGGCACCAGCCTGAGATCGGAGAGCGGCTGAGGCGGGCAACGCCTTCTCCTAGGCGGGCCAAAGCCAGCGGGCCGGGCAGGACCTCAAGGAGATGCCTCCCCAGGCCTGGGGATCTGGCTGATCCTCTGGGCCCAGAGCACATGAAACAGCAGCAGCTCTGCAGCCACGCCCAGGACACCCAGACCCTCCAACTCTCCCAAGAGCCGGGTGCTCCAGGAGCAAGGACCGACCCCACACACAGGGATGGCGCGGCAGCTGCCAGAGGGTCTTCCTGATCCATACAGCCGTGCCGTGTGCAGGATTCCCACGGGAGCCAGCAGGAGCAGGCTACCTCGCTACTGAGACAGGCCTGAGCCTGTGTCAGAGTGCGGAGGGGAGAGGGGACCCTCCTGCCGCAGAAGGGAGGTGGCA